CCCCCCCCCCCCCATGGGATGATTCCCCCTCCCTGGACGGAACTGCACGCGCGAGCGCGAGAGATGATAAATGAAGTCGAATTTCGCGCAAGTGGATGGAAGAGGAGCGGATGGGAGCAAGCGAGCCTGCGAGAGAGGAGGAGAATAATTAGCCGCTGGGAAGCTGATTCCCCTGTAATTCGAGATACGCGTGTGCGAAAATTTTAGTAGTCCCGGGTTCGGGTGAAAAATCGGGACCGATGTGCTAAATGCGGGGTCGGGGATATTTTTCATCCTTCGGGTGTGTAATTGATAAGCGGCGCGTGTTTGATTTGACAGGGGGTTTTTTGGGAACAGCAACGGCTTGGTTCAGGTGGGATGCCCAACCACAGATTGGACGTTGGTTTTATTTTTCAAATTTTACAATTGATTTTTTGGAAACAACATGGACGGTTCGTTGTTAACGATAACGCAAAGACCACGCTCGAAGCAATTTTTTCCCTTCATTTCAACTTGTGGAGTTTGAAAAAACCAAAATTGTGTGTGAGAACTCGTTGTACAAGCGGCACTTAAGACGAGTATATGTTCGTGCAACTGAAGTTTCAATAGCTAAAATTTTGAAAGATAAAAAAAAGTGAAGTAACCGAATGTAAAGACACATTCGCATAACTATTAATATTTTCCAGGTAAGCATTATTTCCTGTCAACTATTCTCGCCCACAAAGTGATGTCACCAACTTATTAGGCTTCAAAAACATTTAATCGTAAACATCACACGCGTCACTCGATAATTCAACTTCACAAACCGTATCAAGATGAAGTTCACAATAATAACCTCGATAATAACTATTTGTGTTCATCGACTTCTTTTTGTTTTTTTTTTTTTTTTTTTTTCAAAAATAGTTTAATAAATTTTTATTTCCCTTCAACAGTACACGAACAATAAAGTTCTCAAAAACTAATTGTTAATCAATGGGCTCGAAATAACACTTCCATCGATTCCGTACTCTTTTCTTAGACGCTATATCATATTAATTCGCGCAATAATACGTTATGTATGTATACAATACACGCAGTTCAGAGTATTATACAACATTCGACTCGGCAGTCAATCGATTTGATCGCTCTATTTGTCGCAATTTCCTTCAATAGAAAACGAATGGTATAGACAATTACTCATTCTTATACAGTTACTTATCCTTATACTAATCACATGTAATTGGCCGATCACTCATATGTATATACATATACAATATATATTGCACCGAGACGACGTTTGATCGAGAGATACATAAACTATATATAAAGTGTACAACGGGTATAAAAAACTGTGCCAATGATAACAAGTTACATAGGAATCCAAATGAACGACGCAAGGTAATTGAGTACACGCGGTGACAATATTCTGCGTGAAAAAACAAAAATAAAAAATAAACTTGTATACACACGTGACAGGGTAAAAAAAACAAAAAAAAACGGCCGGCCAAGGGTTATCCAACAAACTCCGAGGCGACAAAGCCCCTCTTGAACACGGTGTCCTTGAGGTAAGCTTCGACAGCCGGATCGTCCAACATCTGCTCGACGATCGACCTAAAGCCCAACTGGCTGGCCAGGACGTACTTGCACTCGACGTCGCCGAGCTTGTCGACGAGGGCCCGCATGTTTTCGGCCATGACGAGCGTGATGCTCTTCTCGAGCCTGAACTTACGAGCGCAATCCACCGCCACCGACGCTGTGAGGAGCTTCGACGTGACAAAGTCCCGAAAGTACTTGGTCTCGTTGCTGAGCAGATAGTGCGAGTAAATGGCACTCGCCCAGTCCACGTGGACGTTGTACGCGCGAGCTATTATAAGCGCCTGGGTGAAGTTCAGGTAGCGGCATATCGCCCTGTTGACCTCGTCGCAGGTGAGATTCAACAGACACGGGAAGTGCTGGCTCGGATGGACTCCCATCAACAGGGAAATCTGCAGGGCCACCAGCTGCGCCTGGTGGGAACACCGGCTGGCCAAATTCAACTTGTTGTCCTGCAAAAGCAAACAGGTTTTGTGCATAAAATCGTTGATACCGATCATATGTTTTCACAGCTATGTATGGAAACACACCTGAAGGAAATACTGGGTGGCGTGCGTCAGATTCGTGATCGCCAGTTGTAGCTTCTTGTCCGTCGCGTCGTTTCTCACGAGCTTAATTTCCACCCGTGGGTTGGAAGCGTTTCTGCCACACTCCCTTTTGGCTTCCTTCACGAGATCGCTTATCACGCCTTTCGCCTCGTTTTCCCACGTGAGGGCTATCTCGTTGTACAACCGGAAGTGCAGGGCCACGATGTTGAACAGGTCCTTGTTGTCCGGGCAGTTTCGTTTGAGAAAATCCAGCAGCGCCATTCTCAACCCGGGCACCTGGAAAATTTCAATGAAACTGTAACCATACATTAAATTACAATTGCAAGCCATTGCAGTGATTTTATTGTCCCAATTACGTTGACCAATCCCCTGCCGAGTAGGAATTCAAAGTGGTCGTGCTCCTTGAGTATCTGAAAGATGTAATTCATCTCCGTGAACCGGCCTACCCCCGTAACGAGGCGTACGAGCAAGCTCCAGTGTTTCAAGTTTTGCAGGGAGTGGGCGAGCTGCTGGCACTTTCTCAGGACCGAGGCGATGCCTTCCATGTTGCAGGCCGCGGTGAAGCAGTCGTGGGACCGAATCAAGAGCTCGACTATGATTTTCAGAGTCACAACTGCCGAGAGACCATATAATTCAATGATTCTTATCTAATCGTACGAGTAAGAAAAACAAAAAATGAAAAAAAATATTACGATTTCTCTTCTCCCCGTTGGAGTTGCCCAGCAGCTTGTGGGCCATGCCGAGTAGTTTCAGCCCCAACAGGGACGTGTCCTTGCACAGTTCTATCACGGACTGCAGGTTCATGTTGTAGTTCCAAGCGTTCGTCGGCTCGTTCAGGTTGTCTGAAAAATAACCGACGGCTCACAACACGAGTCCGTGTACCGATGAAAACGGTAAAAAATAAATATCCCTTGTACCCTCGATAACTTGCGTGATGTGAGCAACTATCTCTTCGGAGAGGAAGTTGGCTATGCTCTCGTTCTCGATCTGGTAGGCGGTAATGATGTCCCGAGCGATCTCGAGCCGCCTGTCGGACGGTCCGCTGACGGTTTCGCGGAGCAGCTGCATCGGATTGCTCAGCGTCAGCAGCACGTGGTACCGTTTGCCCAGTTGCAGGGCCAGCCGGTAACACAGGAGTATTCTTATCCCTATGTCGACGCCGTGGTTCAGCGTTGCCACCAAGTTGGTCAGAAGAGCCAGGCAGTCCAGTTGTTCTTGCTGTTCCATGACGAGCGCTGCGCTCGCCACCTTGGACAAGTTCGTGGACGAAGACAAGCTCACTGCGAAACGGTATGTAAAATCACCACTGTACGTGAATTACACGTTTACAAAAAAAATGAGAAGGATGTAGTTACGCGAAGACGACGACGGCATGCGCGGAAGTCTGCCTATGCTTCGCAGCGTGTTGTTCTTCTGCCTTGGATGTCCGTTTGGTTCCGTAATCAGTGACCTCTGTTGGCTCGTCAGATGATAGGGCGATATTTCACCCTCGGCCAGGCTCAAGCACAGCATCAGGACTTGGAGTTCCTGCGAGCGACGAACAATACTTTATCTGCGCTGTTACATCCAACATCGGCTCAAAGGGGAATAAGCCATTTATATACCCTGTTCCTGCAATTGAATATGGCACCGATGCGGAGTGCCGTTTCCAACCTGCCAGCGTCCAACAGCCGTTCGATCAGAGCCTCGACCGCGAGCTTCTCTTGGGGTTCGGTGAGCGAGCAAGTGGCCCGCAGCTTGCCAATGCTCGACAGCAATTCGGTCCTGAGATTGCCAAAAACGCCCGTCCGTGCCGTTATCTCGATGTTCTCCGGCCCCGCGAGGATGCACGACTTCCACATGGCCATTTCCACGGTGTCGCGGCTCCTGCGCTCCCGAGGGTTAGCCTCGAGCAGCTCGAAGGCCAGCCTCAGGATCTCGTACCTCTCCCTGTGCGACTTGGCCTTCTCCGCGTGCTCGACGAAAAACTCGACGGCCCTCTCCCGGCAGACCTCGTACTTTACAAAGTCCCCCGAACATTGGCTCCAAAATCGGGGATCCACCGCGCCGTCTCTGTCAGCCTGGCGCTTGAACTCGCCGCGATACTGACAACGATCATCGAGGATTAAACGCCTTTTGTTTTTCCTTCAATGCATACTTACTTGGGCTAGTATGATCTTGGACGTTCTCAAACCAGCTGCTTTGGACAGCTCCAGAGCGCTGCCGTAGTCCTCCGCGTCGATCAGCTCGTTCGCGCACTTTTCTACCTCCACTTCGGACTCGTTTACCTTATCGGTCGTGTCGAAGCAGTGGTAGTTCAACCTCACCCTCGTCTCCGACAGTATCCTCGTGTACTCGAGCAGAGACTCGAAATCCGGGGAATCCACTGTTTGGACGGACAGACGAAAATTGGATCAGCACACGCGTGACTCACAGTTTGGAGGGAGGAGGGATCGCGTTGTACGCACCTATGAGCTTGTCGCGAAAATGGCACTCTATCAGAGCACCAAGAAGCTCCATCTGCGCGCGCGTGCTCCGCGAGGCACCGTCCAGGGCAGCGAGGATGCATTTCACCGCGATCGTCTGGATCCAGCAAGCGTTTTCCAGGTACGTCGCGTCGCTGCACTCCCAGTTTATCAGCCTCTGGGAAAAAATGTGGACGTTGAAAAATAAAAAAAAAATAAAAACACGTTCAACCGAGTTACGGTGCTTACGTTGCATTTGTAGTTGGAGCAAGCTGTCGCAAAGTCGGTCAAGCAGGTGAAATCCCTAAAATGGCCGTACTCCAGGCACTGCTCGAGAAATTGGAAAAACAGCCTCAAGGGATTCTCCTGCAAAAACGGAAACGCGATCAATCGAAACACCCAACGAGGGGCCTTTGGTTCTCTTACCGGCAAAAAAATCTGAAAGCCTCGGTGGAGCGCGCCGACGGACCCTCGCGACACCATACCGAGAAACAGACTCGATACCTCGCTGGCCGTCCAAATCTGGTTGTCGAGGCATTCGTTGTACTGCCTCGCAAAGTCCGCGCTCTCGACGGACACGACGAGCCAAGAGTAGCAGTACGAGGATATGGACGATGGCTGCAACGTCAAATGGGATGTAGAGAAAAATGTATGCAATGTAATACGCGAAAGTATATGCATTGGCTTACCTCGTAAAAAGTAGCCAGTACAGTGAGAATCGGGGATTTGTAAGTCTGCGAGGCTTTGAGCAGTGCACCCGGAGGATCCGGGCTGTCGTGGCACTTGAGGATGACAAGCCAGAGATCGTCGGCAAGAGCGGAGTCGTCAGTAATCAGACTTGGGTTTGTTGTGCCGCTCTGCTTCGTGGATGGGTCAAAGAGCTGCGGCAGACTTGGCCGTGATAAACGCTGCACAAGTACAGAGAATGAAAAATTTATTGATCAACATGGCTTGGAATAATGTACGTTGTAAAATTGGTATTGCAACACTGACACCGCGTTCTCCGCTGATTTCGTTCGATAGAGTTGGTCGAGCGGCTTTTTTTAGAACCTTATCTTCCCTCGAGTTTTGACATTCGCTCGATGAATTCCCCAGCCGAGAATTGCTCAACGCTAGCAACAAGTGCTCCCTCAAGCTAGCGTTATCAAAGAACTGGGCGCAGTCTATCATCTTTCGACGTATGAAAACACACAATTAGTATATGAGTTGGTTCAAAGCGTGGAATGGTGGAAAGACTGGTTTACCTGATGGGCAGGGTATGCAAAAATTTGACCAACAAGTACAAACTCGAACCAGCAGTCGTGGCGAGCCAGGAATTTCAAGAGGGACGTTGGCAACGAGGTGTTGTGGGCCCCGGCGAATCGCACGACCAAGTCCCACGTGCGCAGCGCTTGGAAAAATCGGTCCTTATCTTCGATCGTTTCTGCGTTCAAGTGAGAATCAAAACTTCGTTCCAAGTAACTCAGCACCAGCCTCAAGTCTTTCTCGTTGTTGTAAACTATGGATTCCAGCAACTTTTCTGCAAACGATTGGGTGAAAAAATTTTAGTTCTGGATCACGCGTTTCAAGATTACATGTTATACACGAACCTATGCACACGCCCAAGTGGTTTTCTACGATTTGCGCGACCGTGACGTGAAGCCTCAAGTTTTCCGAATTGACTCCGAGGATTTCTAAAAACGACACGCAGCCACTGACAATTTCCAGATTTTTCGAGTGGCGCAGCGCGAAAACGTGCGCGCAAAGGGAGGCCCGAGATTTTCTGAGACATTCGACATAAAGTTCATTCCTCGCTATTTGTACGAAGTAAAGGATTGATTACAATGTATCGAGAAAATTGTTCTTACGCTTTCGACGACACACTGCCAAACAACTTCTCCTGATCGTGGTAGAAAACACTGGCCGCCATACCGGGACGCGCCTCCTTCAAGAAATTGACGTAGCTCAGTTTTTCCCTGTGCCCGAACTTTTTGACCAAATGCTCGCTCTGAAACGTCGGCATCGCCGCGTTCTTCGACCTCCACTTGAAAAACACCGTCGCGTTCAACTTTCCGCATCCATCGACAAGTTGGTACATCGACACCTCGTTTTCCGGCAGCCTCCGGCCAACCTCGAGTTTCAGATACGGCAAACGCACCACAATGGAATCCAAAACTTCCCTCGACAAGGTCAGCGACCTCACCACTAAACCCTCCTCGTTGCGTAAAACGTCGTCCAAGGTGGTGTCCTTGGACAACCGCTTGAGCTTGAAGTAGCGAAGAAACACCAGAGCAAACAGTACGATCGGGTTCTGGTCGAAAAATCGCACAGGGTCGTCGCACAGATAGCCGACTGTCTCGACGATCCCGAGCTCCAGGAAGTCCTCGTAATCACCGTTGGCACTGCACACGGCCGTCAAACAATCGTACAGACCCTTGGCCTTTGCGTTCATTTTCCGGGACTCGGCATCCTCGCCGTAGTTCCTCGAAAACTCAACGACGTCGAGTTCGGAGAAAAATTTCTCCCGGTCGACGTTGCACGACGCCTTGGACAGGATTCCCGTGATGTCCGAGCGAGTCGTGCACTCCCCAAAAAGCCGGGCCAGTATCAGTTTGCTGTCGCTGCACTCTTTGGCCGAGAACACGCCGTATCTGGAAAGATAAGGTCGGCGATTGAAACCGTGCGTTCAATCTCGAAAAAAAAAAAAAAAAAAAAAGAAAAAAAAACTTCGCTCACCTGGACAAGTGACCGAGAACCAAGTCGTTGACATGGCGCATCCCGTGGGACGACTCCACCGCGGCGACCATCTCGTCGGTTATATTCCAATGTTCGAACAACGCGCCAACACCGTCGTTGAAAGCGTTACCGATTGCGCGTCCAAACGCAACATCGATCCAGAGCTTGATCAGGTCGAGTCTGTTGTTCGTTAGCAAGTAACTCCAAACAACGTCGGTCTTTAGGTAAGCGACGGCAGTTGGCTCGCGCGTATAAAAATACAACTCCGTAAACAGCGCGTCTCTGACACCCGGTGGCAATTGTATTATCTCCTCGAGGCACTTGTGGGATATCAGTTCGTTTCGGAGTCTGTGGCAAAAACAAAACAAAAAAAGGGTTCTCCATTGTGCTATTGTTTTCCCCCTGCGGCAACGATACTTATCTCCGATGACTCACCCGAGTTTCTCCTCGTGTTTGGCGAGCAGCTTGACCAGTTGCCAGGCTTGTCTCTCCTCGTCGTTGAGGGACGACTCCACGTGCTGGGCCAGGTAATCCCTCAGCGAGGGCTCCTTGCACTTGAGGCAGGTAGCCCTGATGTAATCGGCTGGCACTTTTCCCTGTCGCACATAACGCGTGTTACACATCTCAACAACAAAAAAAACCCATGATCAACAAAGCACTTACCACGTTGTTGAGTATGTGGGAAGCCCTGTGGATCATCTTTTTGTTGAGCAGCCCGGAGACCCAGATGTCGACCTCGCTGGCAAAGTACTCCTTGGCCTCCTGGTGGGAGCAGTGCCGCCTCCTCTCGAGGAACTTGTGGGCGAGTTTGAGGTGCAGGCCCTTGGCCGAGGCCTCGCGGACGATCTCCCTGTCGCCCAGGCCCTCCCAGCCCGACCAGACCCCGGCCAACTGACCGGTGAGACCCTCGACGGGAACAACCGTTGCAGCCGGGGAAGACGAGTGCGCCATGCTCCCCGCCAAAGTCTCATCGAGCACTGACACGCTGCCACTAAGTAACAACACAATCGACTATTGTTCCCTACACCGAAACATTGTCCGCGACGGAGTAGTCCGACACGGGTAATAAAAATACACATCACATGAGTCAGCTACCGTTGACCCAATGACACATGATCCGTGGACCGAGTAGGAGGAGGAGGCGATAAAAAAAACGAGAGTACGAAGACGAGCAAAAGTATGTAGATTACTACAGGAACGAGTTGTTGTCGCTCCCCGGATAAGATAAGAACGAAATAAAAAAAAAAAATATATATATATATATATATATATATATCCGTATCCCAAGGAAAGCGTGGCTTTGTAAGTTTGTAAATACACGCCCCCGCGACACCGTGTGTGTTTTTCGTGCGTCGTCGTCACCACCACACATATAGTTATACACAACGCGGCGATCAGCTGATTTTGTTGTGTCCCCCTTTTTCGCCAGCAGTTGATCGATCGGCGTGTTTCGTGCTCGTCTTACCGACCGCGCTCTCTCCAGGTTTGAAAACAATCATAACAGCATATAGGTAGTACATACGCAATAAGTATATCGAGCGCGCTCCGAAAACGGAGTGACCGCCGCGCGCATCAACCCAGGTATACTTACACCTATATGTCTACGTGAACATCCGCGCGTATATGAGTCAAGGGAACGAAGCTCCTCTGTTATTTAAGCTCATTGCCATCGGCTGGGCGCTCGAAAGCTCGTATATCCCTCGGTGTAGCAGCGCTGGCTCCTATTTGTTTCTTCCACGCGGGACGTCGCGGTGTCAAGTATGCCCGGGTAGCTCCAGGTGGAGGACCTTCGATCGGAGCGGTGTGCGTCGACGTGGTGGTGGTGACGTCGCGCTAGTGATGCATTATAATCTCGAGTTATCGGTCGACGAAGCGAGGACGGGACAAGCATGAGCGACGCGGTCGACGAGGATTGCTCGGGAGACGAGGAGGAGTTTGTCGTCAACGGGCGCACAGTCGCGTGTCATTAGCATGGGCTCGGACGAGCCGTCAGTTGAAAATCGGCCGGGTATTGTGCTAAGTGGCACGCGGCGGAGGAGGAGCTATGACGGACAGGGGCACCGCTGCCCATCTGGTGAGTTTTTTTTTTTTTTTTTTTCCTCCTTTTTGCAAGGCTGTCTCGACCTTTTGCACCTCCCTCCGACAACGACCATTGTATACTTACTGCCCTCGTAACGTAGTAAACGCACTGTTGTATTTATACTGTTACTTTCCTTTACAGTCTTCAGACGCCAAGAGTGACGTTGGTGCGCTGCCGGGCCCGGCCACGAGACGTGGCGTCAGGGTGTACAAGATCGTCGTGCTCGGGGAAGGAGGCGTCGGCAAATCAGGTAAACACACGTGCACGTCCTTATACCCTATGTACAAACGAAATCGGCACAACGTACAACGTGATTATTGTCTTGGTTTCAGCCATCACCTTGCAGTTTGTCAGCCACAGTTTTTTAATAGACCACGATCCGACGATCGGTGAGTTCACGTCAACTCCGAATATATAATACGTACCGATCGGTGTAACTTTTTGGATTTATGGGGTTTTTTTTTTTTCAGAGGACTCGTACCAGCAGCAGGCGGTCATTGACGGCGAATCGGCTCAGCTCGACATTCTGGACACAGCCGGTCAGGTATATATAGTGCTTTGACTTCAACTTCCATGCACGTGTAGCTACAAGGGTGTAAATAAAAAAAAAAAAAAAAAAAAAAAAAAAGAAAAAACAAAAGTCTCGAAATTACATTACTTTCGTACACCGAATCACNAAAAAAAAAAAAAAAAAAAAAAAAAAAAAAAAAACAATGAAACATCACGATTGCAGATCGAATTCACGGCTATGCGAGAGCAGTACATGCGCTGCGGCGAGGGTTTCATGCTGTGCTACTCCGTCACGGATCGGCACTCGTTCCAGGAGGTGCTCGAGTACCGCAACTGCATCTTACGATTCCGCGCCAACGATGGCTTCGCCCCGCCCATGGTGTTGGTCGGCAACAAGTGCGACCTGCAAAATCGGCGCGAGGCACGTCATTGCTCCGTCGCTCCCCGATGCTCATCCCCGTCCAACGCATATAATCACGCCCTTGTCTGTATATTGCAGGTCAGCACGGAGGAGGGCAAAACCCTGTCGGACCACCTGGGCTGTCCGTTCTTCGAGACGTCAGCGGCCTTTCGTCAGTTCATCGACGACGCGTTTTATTCTCTGGTGCGGCAGATCCGCGAAAAGGAACGGGCCCAGCCGGCCAGAGGTGGCCGTCGGCGCTGGAGGAGGCTGCGATCCATCTTTGCGTTTATATTCCGGAGACGAAGACCCAACCCGCCGAGGTCCCCCTGAAAGGGAGAAGAAAAAAATAATAAAAAAAAAAAAAGCACACCCACACTTAGATAATCATCCACGCAAAGCGAGCCTATAGTGTATATGAATAATGATGATCACGTCCTATAATACGATACCTGCATGTATACCCATGTGAACGCGAGTACATGTACACAACGAACTCGAGTGAGTCTTCCCAAGTAAAAGTAGTGAGTATACGATATATTACAAGTACATACAATTATGAAGCGTACGATGTGCGGTTCCCAAAGGTTTTGGTCACGTAAGTGTTGTTAGTTTGTCATTTGGGTGCTGGCACCGCGATTTTACGTTGACGACAAATTTACAGTATACTACGTTCGTTGAATTTTTTCAGATTTTATGTGTGTACAATACATGGTGTTGCGTGTAAATGACGGAAATTTACCGATGAGATCGGTAAATTTGGAATATTTTTCGAAAAAAAACAAAAAAAAAAAAAAAAAACTTATCGAGAGTAATAAAATTACAAGTGTTGAAAACACGATACGTGAAACGTTGAAAATGTAGATATACGTCCGGCCGAGTGTTGGCTGAATCATCATTTTTACTTTGCAAGTTTAAACTTTGAAATTTTTTTATTTTTTTTTTTTATTGATCGTACAGGGATTATTTTACTACGGTTCTACACTAGCGTAAGAAAGCCCAGAAAGTATTTTCTGCTAAGGGATGATTGTTATCCGCCTATACGTGTATAATGTTTGTTTCAACTTCCATAGTGAACAAAAAAAACAATCGGCCTTCAATTGTACACGCGTATAAACGATTGTCGCGCAACATTTTAGATATCCTTTACATTTATAGATCCTCAGTACCAAAACGAGTCATAAAGTAATAATAACGAGTAATAGTATCTAGTCGCTACTACTGTAAACGTGTCCTAGTCAACAGTTGCATTTTTATTTTAGACGAACCAAAGAAAATTGGATGGTCCACTGACTTGAAAAACACACACACACTGCTTTTTGTTTTTATGCGATTGTTCAATTATTGTTCGCGATCCAAGGATTATTTATTGAGACTATGAAAAATTTTTTATACCTGTATTTTTTGCCGGTTTTAAAAAACTATATATATATAGG